TAAAGTAGTTGTTTTTTCTTACTACTACATCTCATTTTTTTTTGGTTTATAATGTCACCAATTTTTATTTGGTTGATGGGTTGCCCTTTATATATCAAGCCGGATTTTTGAGAATCTCCTACAGTAACGAATATCAAGCATATCAACGGCGACTATGACAACAATAATTAATAACAATAAAAATCATAATAGTAACCATGACTGTAACGAAGGTAGATCAAAAGTACTGATTAAAGTAAAGAAAATATTTACATAAAAAAAATAATAAACCAAAAATGCAACTATAAAGGAAGAAAAAGATGTGACATAACAGTAAACAAATAAATAAGCAATTTTGGTATCGAAATTATCAGGTGAAGTGTCATAAAATTTGTAGAATTTGTGTTCTGCTAATCTTTGTTGTATGATGACGACGAAGAACAGAAGGTTTATGTAAAAAAAAAAAAGTGTTTTTTTTTCTCTCTCGTTGACCTCTTCTCTTAAAGAGAATGACGTTTTTTTTCTGGTTTATTTTCTACTTTTTAGCACCACTGTATCAAATAATTGTTGCGTTTCTATCTTTCCAAGCACTATGTTTCATCAGACTTTCTGGTTACAAACTTGTCACCGTAGAGACAAAAAAAAAAAATACCGAAAAGAAATTGCACTTTCTCAGACAAAACGACTGCCCATCTATCTAACTGGGGACGTTGGAAGCAACGCTTCAACAGTCTTTAGAAACTGGTTTTGTACAGCTAATTTTTGCTTGCTTCCCTTGCAACTGGAAATACCAACAGTTCTTTTTGTCGCCGGTAAAGTTTTTTGGTGCAGCATCTGATCGTTGTTGCAACATCGCTGATACTATCAACCGATAGCAACAATCGCCTTCCTTGGGTGGGGTTGAAGGAAAGTTGTAACGGAAGAGGCGACAACAGATGGAGCCAAGTGCTTAATTTTTTTTCCAAAATTGGTTAACCTGGGCAACAGAATGCTGTTTACGGTCCGGCACTGTCCATCTATTGAAGTGATCAGAACAGGAAGGCTTAAACGTGGTTTGATTCCACGGGTTTCATGCCTTATCAAGCTTATGTATTTGCTTCTTTTCCTATTCATTTTCAATTTTTCTCCTATTCTTGTTTTCTTTTGTCTCTAATTTTAAAAAAATAAAACAACAAGTTGGGCGTTGACACGTATAAAAAATATTAAATTTTTTTTGTGTTTATTTTGATTTTTTTCTCACCCCTGCTTCTTTTGAGTTTTTCTTCTTTTTTTTTTTTCTCAAGCTCTGTTATACTTTGTTCAGACAGCCAAGTATGAGCTGTTTGCCTTGTTGATGACATTAACAAAGAAAAAAAACAATAAAATTTATCAAAACCTATTTATTGGTGTCTTCTTTAGTATTTTCTAGAACCGTAACAAAAACTCCAAAGAAAAAAACTAGTTTCTTTGAAAAGATCAAAAAAAAAAAAAA